CTGCACTAATATATATATATATATATATATATATAATATGCACTTCACGCTTCACCTTTAACATTATAGGTCCATTTGGCACTTTTAATGTTAGGGTCTGTGTTAGTAAGTGTTGGTGCAGTGGTGCTCAGAGGTGTGTGGGTATTCAGTGGCAGGGCTAATTGGGTTGACCCATGTTCCTGTGACAGGGCTCTGATGGAGAAAGATGTCACCGTGCCCCCCGAGACCTTCCGCAAGCACGTGGACGCCTGTCTCACCCACGTCAACCGTGTGCTCAAGCAGATGAGCCGCCTCTTTCTGGTCCAGGATCTGGTGGATTCCCTCAAGGTCAGTGCCAGCAATTATACATGCTATGATTAAAGAGATAGTTTTAGATAGTCAGAATTTATTTATCTTCTTGGTCAAAACGTGCATGACTTTCTCCAGTACATACAAAAATATATATATTCAATACAGTTTAAGTTTATAGTGATTCCAGAAATGACAAGAGGCAACAAGGAGCAGTTATTTCTTGCTATATTAGCTGTAAGATTTTTATTAAAGCATTGCATTTACTTCAGAATTCATTAAAATAATTGTGTTTTCTGGCTTTCTGTTTGTTTGACCCACATTACCTTCTGATTTCAGCTGGCAGTGGTTATGTGGCTGATGACATATGTTGGAGCGGTCTTCAATGGCATCACTATCCTCATCCTCGGTAGGCCGAATGTTCCACTTTTAGCATCGCATTTAAATTTGAGGGGTATTTTTGATTTGTGGGGAACCAAATTGCTTCATATTTAGTTATAGGCTGACCAATTGAGAATGAATCCACATTTCAATGTTTTCTTTTCCAGCCGACATCCTGCTCTTCAGTGTACCGCCCATCTATGAGAAAAACAAGGTTAGATCTAGATCTTTCAGTTGCAAACTATGCACTGTGTGCTCCAAAAAAGCATTTATTGTGGGGGTCCTAATAATAATAATACTCTCCAAGTTTGGGGTCGGTAAGATTTTTAAATATTTTTTTTTAAATCTCGTATGCTGGCCAAGGCTTCATTTATTGTAAATAGTAAATACATTAAAAACAGTAATATTGTGAAGTATTATTATAATTTAAAATAACTGTTTTCTGTTTGAATATATTTAAAAATGCAGTTTATTCCTATGATGGCAAAGCTGAATTTTCAGCATCATTACTTCAGTCTTTAGTGTTACATGATCCTTCAGAAATCATTATAATATGCTGA